ATTACAAATAGTTATTACAAACAATGATTTATAAACAAAAGTTTCAAGAACTTACAAGCAATATAAAGTCTTCTTTCTGGTTTGGAACTCCCTTGATATCTTATCGAGGGTTTACGACAAGCGAGTTAATTACGAGTTGATGTAAGTACGATTCGCCGGGAAGCTAGCTAGCTTTGTTATTGGCCACACACGCTGTTTTCCACCGTTCAAGTTAGGTAATGTTTTTGTAAAAATACTAATGTCCGATGAGAATCCACTGAAGTTAAACGATTTGTAGCATTCGAAATTTATAAATATTCCTGGTCAAATATCTTAAGTTTTTCGATTGATAAGCGTTATAAAAACACAGTTATAGCTTTCGAAATTTTATAGCACACTGATGATAGCGAACTAATAATAGACACTCTCCTTTTGGCGCGTCGCGTTGGTTATATTTATAGCTGTATGGAGGCGTTCTAGAAATTTCAGTCTTACGTAAGAATACTGGTTAAAGCGTTTACGTATACAGATGTATTGTTGATTCTTACTCTCGAGAATCTTCTACAACTTTGGATAACAGGTGGGAGTTTCGCAATACCTATCTAATAGTATAAGCTATGTATGTTCTTAAATATAAACTTAATCTAAACAACGTTCATATTAAAATAAATACATAACAAATTCCTTACACTTAACTAACTGACAGCGACTGTTGTGTGCCACAGTGACAAGTATGTAGAGACAAGTTGAAAGTAAAAATTAGCCTGAAAAATTAATAATACAATTTCTAGCTTCTACAGGGTTAAGTACGCTACATTAAAATGATTTTGAACAGGCAAATCAACAAGTCACAGCCGACATAAAGCTGCGGTTGAACAGTTGTGTCAAGGCTACGTTTTATAGGTAGTGTGATGGCACCAAGAATATCCAGAAAGAGATCTGCCAGAAGTCTTACCAGAGCCATGGTAAGAAAAATGTGGCGTTCTGTAATATGTGAGAATCCACGAAAATAGAGGTCAGCTGTCCATGCCCCAGACAACAATACACCTCATAAGGATTTCCACCTGCAAAAAAAAATCAACAGGGTATGGGTTTCCAAGATAAGGCTTCTGTTCAGTTGTTGCGTACCCCAAAGAGCTGAAGAATGAAACTAGATGGATTGTGAAAAGCATGCAGGGAAGTAAAGGCGTGCTTTAAAGATAATAACCTAACAATGGAGCCTTTCGCACTTGAAACTATGCTGCAGGTGTATTGTCAAGATGCATGGTCGTCAGAGTAAGATCAGACTGTAATGACGTAGTGAAGCACCAAAACTGTTTGAACATAACATACTCAACCTCTATATTTGCTTTACAAGTTGATATATTTTAAGAAGCAACATTACATATTCTAAGAGAAAAATTATACACGAAGAAAATCTAAAATGGCAGTTTTATGAATGCTTTGCTCATTTTTATGTAAACTCTCTGGTGCCTTTTCTATACTGCAAGTTCAAGTCTATCAAAAAAATAAATATTTGATTTCGAAATGAACTGGAAACTGTTAATCACTTTGCTTGAAAACTTTAATTGCAAGAAATACAATACCAATCTTTTATATTAAAACTCACTGACCTTCTCTGTGAGCTTGCAGTAAGCAGGCATACTAGGTATTTTTGACCCTCTTTACTTAACCTTTAAGTTCACATAAAAGTTTTCAAAACGTTCATACATACAAATGTATATAAGTTTAAAGTAAAACATTAGTCAAGGAAGTGGTTAAGTTCCTATCACCTTAGTTGCCTATTGTTCTGACTTATTCCCTTATGGTATCACATGCACCTTCTCGTGGAAAAAAATTGTTCTGAAGTAGAAAATACTGTCTAAGAGTAGGCAGCAATTTTTCCCACTGGCGGGTAAAGTGATACCTGGAGTTAACATCCTTTCTTATTTTTCGATGAGAATGACCAACAGTGACATAGATAATGCACATAGCTTGAGAAGAATAGCATTGTAGAATTATTTACATAACGTTATGTTTTCTCAGTCTGGAAGCAATTTTTTCATCAAAGATTTCTAAACTCTTACAGAGATCTGCAGAGTTCAGAAACTTTCAAGCTCCAGTATAGGTGCGTCCTTCATCCACACACTCGTTATTTTTACTTTCTTTTTTTTGCATTTTGTACTGAATAACTATTATGTCACTGGGTTTTACATTGTGTCCAGTCTCTTTGTTTACTCTAAATTCACTCAAAATCAAGAGAATTCAGCTAATCTCTGCAAAACACATCCTGTAGAATCTTTTGTTATCTTGCGGATCCTACTCAATTGCTCAAAGGAAAATAAGTGAGCCTGAGAATACCACAAGCTTAGCCCCGTAGTGTGCAAATCAAACATTAATAAGTTATTTCTTCAATAGTATCAATTACTTTCTATAAAACAAGTTTGAATCCCGTTTGTTTGATACTAAATCTTCTTTATATAACAAATAACACTACACAAATGAGAGTTTTTGTTTTTTCTCATTTGTGATTTCAGCCTCTGCTTCTAACAGGTTATAATAACTGGCTACGGAAATACTGAAATTTATTAATCATGGCAACTAATAAAATTAATTACCTAAAATCTCATATTTTCACTTCAATTAATACATTTACTAAATATGCTTAAAATATATTATATACAACATCCTTCTTCTATACTTGGTTTGCTACAATACAAAGTGAAATAATAAGTTTTATGCAAAAGTCACTCACATCAAGTCAATGCCACTTTTGTTCAAGAGCTTTTCTAAATTTTGTTTGCAGCTGAAACTTTTAAAACATTAAAACTGGCTAACCTCTGGCATCTTCGTTTTCTCGTCTCTTTTTGGAAGAGCTCTGTGGACAGAAATCATCCATAGAGTGTCTTCGTTTTCTTCGCAATGCCTTCATTCCACACGGTGACACGCTTTTTGATCGACCATCTTTACTTTCATCATTTATATTAAGTTGTTTGCCGTCTTCGTTTACCTCTCCACTGTCATATTTTTCTTCTTCGTACAAGCAGTTTTCTTTATTACAAGTTCGCACTTTGTGCTCGATAAACTCCAAAATGTCGGATAAGGCGAATTCTTTATGACAAACACCGCAGGTAAGGGTATCTTGTATTATTTCCGTATCAGCTGAGGAAGAGAATAAATAGAACTTAATTTTATGAGATACATTACAGAAGGTGTAAATACCTAATCTATGTCTATAAAGAAGGTCTGGTTTCATGGTTCAGTTTTGTTTATTTGTAAAATAACCCCGACACAGTAATTTGGATATGCTGTTCTGTATTAATCTTTTTCCTCCCAAAATGACGCCAGTTTTCAAAACAAATAAGAAAATGATCATAACATTTAACACATTATAAATTAAGAAACAACAAAAACACATGGGTATCAACCTGTATGAAACACTACTGGGAAGTTATACCGACAGAGGCTGACTTGAAGTAACGAGCGAAAATGTTATGTTCATGGTTTTCAGTTATCAATAATGGGCTTACCGTGGATAGTGGTTAGCATACCGAATCTGCTGATCCATTGTTAGCGCCCATAGCAAAAATAGAAAAATAAAAATCGGTTCTATATTTTGGAGGCGTAGAGAGCAGACTGTGACAGCTACTCAAGGGCTTTCTTCGTTAGTCGTCTTTAATTTTGATCTGATAAACTAGAAAGAAGGCAGCTAGTCAACAGTACCCATTACCAACTCTTGGGATACTCTTGTCTGACCGAATAATGGAATTTGATCTTCACCCTTATAACGCAAGTCCTGAAATTTTATTGTTAATTTGGTTTAAACAGTTCGTGATTTTGGAAATTCGAAGGGTAAATTACTTCTTAATAAATGCTCTTGTGAGACTTTCAAGATAGAAAAGAAGGTACTTCAGATGTTACCGTCCCAGGAATCATAGTGGGGGATTACGGTATCAATGTTTGTAAAGGTTTTTCATCAGTAGTATTAGCGTGAAGTACATGGATATCAAAAGGTATGCTATGTGTTTTTCTGTTTTATAGTTTATTTGAACTATACGAATTTATATTACAGTAAATAAATCATTGATGAGTAATATTGTTTGTTGTTAAGCATAAAGCTACACAATGGGCTATCTGTGCTGTGCCCACAGCGAGTATCGAAACATGATTTTTCAAGTTGCAGCGCTTTGGAATCGCCGTTGAGCCAGGTTGGGGTCATGAGTACTAGGACGTGAAATTTGGAACTTTAATTTATGGGGTACCAATTTAAAAATTAGATATTATTGTGACTGAACTACTGTAGCAGGTTTATACAACATATTAATACGGTGGTCTATAAACTAGAACTTGCGCAAACGTGTGTACAGGATATTACGTGATACTAATCTCTCAACTCCCCCTCCTCCACTCTACATGGTTTGTACTGTAATAAACTTTTACATACTATGTACTATATTACTGGCTTAATTCACGTGATCATCTGCTTTCGAAATTGTCACACAACCGAACTATAACAAATATATTTAAAATCTTTGTACAGCAGGTCCCCAGTTATTAAACCTTTAGATAATTCTGTTAATCTACTTGGGTTTCAAATAAAAAAAATCTGAAAATGTGACCTGTATCTCGAACAAAGATATCAGTTATTTTATAATTAACCATGGCTTCGAGAACGAAAATATCAGTTATTTTATAATTAACCATGGCTTCGAGAACAAAAATATCAGTTATTTCATAATGAACCATGGCTTCGAGAACAAAAATATCAGTTATTTTATAATTAACCATGACTTCGAGAACAAAAATATCAGTTATTTTATAATTAACCATGGCTTCGAGAACAAAAAATATCAGTTATTTTATAATTAACCATGGCTTCGAGAACAAAAATATCAGTTACTTTAGAATTAACCATGGCTTCGAGGTAAAAAATATCAGTTATTTTATAATTAAAAATGGCTCTTAGAACAAAAATATCAGTTACTTTAGAACTGACCATGGCTTCGAGATAAAAAAATATCAGTTATTTTATAATTAACCATGGCTCTGAGAACAAAACGCAAGCGAGGGAGCTCAACATTAAAGAAATTAAATCCAATCCATCATCTTCGCCTTGCCTATTATTGTATGTTTACTTCTGCACAAACCATTTCCCTTTTGTTACTAGGATGTTCCTACATAATATACACAAACACGCACGCAAATGACCAATGGTTATTCTCTGGTCATGTCATTGTCCTGACAATCCCAGTATGGGAAACACATTGTGTCCAAAGATCAGTAGTTTGTTAACCTAAACGACAGAGCTGCTAAAAGCTGTGTCTCCCGCTCGTTTCACCCCTAAGTGAACTCGGCTCACATCTTAGCAAATAAGTTTGCTGTACTGACCTTTATCACATTGCCCAGAGGTCCCTCTCGACCTTCCAGCTGCTTACACAAATCAGTCCCTCAAACTCAAACTATGGGTCACTGCGCCTTTAAACGTTTTCTTTCGTAATCAGTTTAAAACTCGTAACCCAAAACAAACAATTTTTTTTTTCATTTTCTGATTCTCCCTGTATCAAACATTAATGCTTGACGCGTAAAAAAAACAAAAACCCACACACAAAAAACAACAACAACAACAAAAGACTCTTATCAACCAGACCAAGAAATTCTTATCAAACAGAATTTCAGAGCAAACGCTTATCTTGTCAGATTTAATTTATACATTCAGACATTTCGTTACTTAATTAGGTTGCTCACTAATTTTCTTGTAGGTAATTTTCTTTACCTTCATTAAATAGAACAAACAAAGAAAAAAACCTAATGTAGATAACATGGCTTTTTTTCCCCTGAGCTTTGCGAAATGAATTTTAAACCTTAATGTTAATTGTACCATTTTCAATTTCTGGGTAAAAGACTCCCTCTCCCATTCCTCAAGAAATAAACAAACCTACTAGAGACTAGTTGGATAAACCAGTTAGTTTCTCATCCATCATTCCATATCAGTTGCTAAGTCAATAAATATTTACTACCCATTTTACTGTAATATTTATACTGATTGCTAGCACGATCAGATTTAAGAAAGTTTCAAGTGATGGAAGGGAAATTCAAAAGAAAATTACTGAATTATAAGAGGCCTGGTAAATGCAAACTATGTAACCCTTGGCATAGTATGCATGTATTTACAATGTGCTTTAAAGACTTCAAATACAAACGTATGTGTGTGTGTGTGTGTTTGTGCATGGTTATAATTTTCAACCGTTGGTGAAACTCGAAGTCTTGGCAACAGCCATTCAATGAAATTAACATGCTTATAAAACTTCCTCTATAGAGAAACTCGAAGTAAATACTTGCAAGCAAAAGTCATGTTTAATATTCATTTTCTTGGAAAATCAGACTTTTCTAATACTCGAATGACGTATTCAGAAATTCATATTAAAAATTTTGAATTTGCATACAAGAAATGAACACGACCTTTTGAAAACCGCGCCTTTCTTCAAACAAATATGTGTCGAACGAAAGATTCCAATTATATACTTGAATTTGTTTTTGTTATCGAGTTGAGATCAAAGTATGCACACACATAAGAATACAAACTGAACAGGTCATAGATGCTAATGAAGAGACGTGTACAGGAGCCGGCTTTGTCATGGAAACAACAGCAAACTTTAATAAACGAGGCTAATAGTTAATTAGAAAGTGAGTGGTATCTGTCAGTCAACTTATCTGTGCTTTAACAGTGTCATAATCAGTCACATATATCTGAAATTAAGAAAAGCTTCAAATCACCAACTGTTCCAGACACCCTGTGTATCTTACTACCTCGCAATTTGACATCTTGCTTATATATTTTGTCACAATCTCTGCTATTCAGTACTATGGAGGGCGTTTTATTTTTACTTAATAAACAAAACCTGCTTTTATGAAATGTAGTCATCACCTCCTATTACTGATAACTTGTGATTTAATAAAGGCATTATTTTATAACGTATTTTCATCAAAAGCAGCTTAACAATAATTTATATGCAGGATGTTCAGAAATGTTGTCAACAAAATGTTATTTTCATTCCTGACTAAACTTGATAACATTACTCCCAGTTACCCTACACTCCGCTTATATAGTAAGTCATCTTACTAACTTCATTACAGTTAGAATGTTGTAAATTCATTCGATGTAACTGTGGTATATAATCATACCATGTGTTTTCTACCTCCTTGTATTGGTATGGAAAAATTTCAAAACCTATGTCAAGTTATTATTGCTCGAGCTATCTAATATTCTATGTTATTCATCCCTAGCGTAACGTGTTTTGTCTTCCCATGGTAAAAACAGCAAGGTCGCTCGTAACTGGGTGTTACTTGGGTAGCACTAGTTGCTCTGGGTGAGTCTTTCATAGACGAGTTAACTAAGTTACACGATATTTACGCAGTCTGGACAAGAACATCAACACAATTAGTCTTGCATACGACCTCATTTGAGTAAGCTAGAAACAACTTAAAACCTAACTCTTCAATAAAGACGACTGTTTATTGTGGCAGTGAAATACCGTTTTACTACTTGAATAAAGATTACACATTTATGTTCAGCGTATAAGTTTCAGAAACTCTGTTAGTCAGAAGATAATACAGAAACATTTTGCAATAAATATCTTGACGAATCTTCCCCTATTCAGCAGCACTGTCTTGTTACTCTTAGCGAAAATCGTTACTATCTGAAAATATCAGAGTTGACCAGAAAGAGAGTTTTGGTGCTGTGACTACAGGATATTAAAGCTTTCTGTTTCATCTCACTCGTGTATTATCCTTTACTTAAAATAATGTATATAATTAAGCTTAAAAAACTTTTTTGAGAAAATGGCAACTACCACAGATTAATAAACTTATAAAAAAGAAGGAGGGTTGGTAGAAAGAGAGTTATCTGGTCAAGAAGTCCTCTCCTAGATGTGCAAAATTTTGCTGATGTTGCAAAGGTCCATAAGTTTTTCTGCCTCAGGCTGATGGTTCAAGAGTGGAGCTGCTATAGTCTGGTGCACTCAGGACCGGCCCAGCATGGCCAGGTGGTTAGGGCGCTCGACTCGCAATCTGAGGGTCGCGGGTTCAAATCCCCATCCCACCAAACATGCTCGCCCTTTCAGCCGTTGGGGCGTTATAATGTGACGGTCAATCCCACTATTCTT